CACCGCAGCCTCACCTTCCTGGGCTCAGTCTATCCTTCCACCACAGCCTCCCGAGTAGCAGGAACACCAGCATGCACCACCATGACTAACTAATTTTTTTAAATTTTTAAAATTTTTAGAGAGATGAGATCTTGCTATGTTGCCTAAGCTGGTCTCAAACTCCTGGCCTCAAGCAATCTTTCCATCTTGTAAGCCACCATGCCTGAACTTGATTTTTAATTTTAGTATAAGCTACCCTACAAAACAGATGAACTAATTTGCAGCTCCATCAGCAATTTCTAAGGGTAATTGTTTCTTTTGCTCTAACATTTGCTGTAAACTTTTTTCAATCTGACAGATGAATAGTGACTTTTTTTCTAGCCTTATAAAAGATCCAGTCTTCACCAAAAATAAATGACTAGATAGATATCACACACATATATATATATTCCAACAAATATCCACCCCATCGTTGACCTGCTGGGCTCCAGCAATCATTCCTCAGCCTTCCAAGTAGCCGGAATTACAGGCACGTGCTACCATGCCCAGTTAATTTTTGGTTTATTATAGAGACAAGGTCTCACCAAGTTGCTGGGGCTGGTCTCGAACCCACAGACTCAGGCAATCCACTTGCCTCAGCCTCCCAAAGTGCTGGGATTACAGGCTGACTCCAGCAGGTCTAGGCTGCAGTAGCCATGGTGCTATGGCACTCTAGCCTGGGAGACTGAGTGAGAAGCCGACTCTAAATAAATAAATACACACATAAATAAATAAATAAGTAAAGGTGTTGATTAGAGGCAGGGTTACGGGACAACAAAGAGGTCAAACCAATTATTTCTATTGTTGAGAATTTCTGATATAACGAGGGAAGCAATAAAGTCTAACCTTTTCTGCTTATCATTTACTGTACTCAACGAATATTTACTGTTCACTGTATAGCCGGCACTGGGTATATATATGAGCAAAATAATTATTTGCTTCTATGAAACATTCCATTTATGAGAAAAGACCCAGACAGATGATAAACAATTACCAAATGGTGAGGAGCATAAAGGAAACACACGAAGTGCTGATCAAAACAAAAATTAAGAATACACATTTATGCTAGAGTTTCAGGAAGAACTTGCCAAGACCTAAAACACAAAAAGATGCTCTCCGTGCAAAATGAGGGGGACAGCAATTCCGACAGAGATGATGGTGTTTTTACATGTGCTAAATTGTGACAAACCGAGAGAACCCAATGATAAAGGTGACAGTAGAACCAGGTGATGTGGGATGGGGGGGACACAGGACTGATTCAGGGGTCAATAGCTTTGCAGAATAAGCTAAGAGAAAATGAGGGTGGTCCAACCTGCAGGTGCAACTCAGTGGCTGCGGCAGAGGAGAGAGACATGTCAGAGAGCCAACACTGTTCTTCACTACCCCACTTTTAGGAGAGAAGATGTTGCTTAGTGCAGAGTATGCTTCCATAATGACATTCAGTGCTGTGAGATGTTGCCTATGCTTATAAATATATGAACGAATTTTAAATAAAACACATCTAATTCCATTTCTGGCATATCATGGGTTCTTAATAAAAATTTGTTGAAATGAAATTCATCTGTTAAATCTCCCCCAAATACTTCCCTTCTGACATTAATTGTCTTTTCTACTTGATATATTGTCCTCTATATAGCGTGTGGTTTTGTTTTGTTTTGTTTTGTTTTGTTTTGTTTTTGAGTTGAAGTCTCACTCTGTCACCCAGACTGGAGTGCAGGGGCCGCTCCCGGCCACCGCAGCTTCGACCTGCTGGACTCCGGCGATCCTTCCACCTCAGCCTTCCGAGTAGCTGGAATTACAGGCGCGCGCTACCATGCCCGGCTGATTTTTTGATTTATTGTAGAGATGAGGTCTCGCTGCCCAGGAGGGTCTCGAACCCGGGGGCTCAGGCAATCCACTCACCTCAGCCTCCCAAAGGTGCGGGATTGCGGGCTGAGCCACCGAGCCCAGTGCATGTGTTATTTTTAATGATCGGCAGTTTTGAAGTAAAATTTGCCTCTTTTTTTTAATTGACAGAGCAATGAAATGAATATCAATGTCAAAAAAGATTAAATTATCATTAGAATTTCTTTGTTTTAACTTTTTATTTTGAAAATGTGGGGTACAATTCAGGGTTAGGTATACAAATGTTCATTATGTAGGCACCCTTGTTGATAATGTGTGCCCCCGTCGCCTGGCAGTTTCCCACTGCTACCGATCCCTCCTCCCCGCCCCCCCGCCCCGGCCCGGCCATTTCCAACTACTGCCAATCCCTTTCTTATAGTATTATGATAATTGCTAAGGTCCGCTTATGAGTGAGAGTATGTGGTATTCAGTTCTTTGTTTCTGTGATAGATCGCTCAGTATTATAGACTCTAAGTTCATCCAAGTTGCTGCAAAATTCATAATTTTGTCCTTCTTTTTGACTGTGTAATTATTTACCTCCTTTAGCCCTACTAATGAAAGTAGCTACTTTTAGCACAAACAACTATTGATAAGTCAATTGCCAAAGGATAAACAATAGTTCCTCCCTTTTATCCATAAAGATTATTTGGCACAGAAAATCTTACTTTTCATATTTTGTTACTATGGGCCAGGTTAGTTACTATGACAACTAATATTATTATTTTAATGCAGGATTGTGGTTTGGTGATTCACCCAGAGGAAACCTGTGGATTACAGCCTATTTCTTCTGACTACATTGAAGCCATTTCACAGTCTGAACTAAAAAGGTGTCCATCTGGGGACATGAAAGGTGACTATCCCATTGGATATTATTTCTCTAAAAAATTTAATTTAGAAAAGTATACGCTTATTTAAGTTATTCTTGTACAAAAAAATCAAGGACATTATTTTTTAATGACTATGAAGTACAACACATATAATTAATGCAAATGCATTGTCTTAATATTTGAAATGCTTTAATCAAATTCTATTTTGTCTCCTCTCTCTGCCTAGTTAATCCATACTCATCTATCGATCTCAGTTCAAAAGTCTCACTTCAGCCAGAGAATCTTCCTTAGGCCTTTGAATTGTTTTCTTATTATATATTTCATAACACTCTATATTCTTCTTCCATAGCAACTACCACAATAATTTAAATGATTGTGTAATTGTTCAATCATCTGTCTCCCAGTATGCCAACTTCATGAGGGAAGAAAGTCTGACTTGTTTGCATTTTATTAATTATCTTGGCGCTATAATTTGTACATGGTAGGTAGAATATAAATATCTGTTATGAACCCAAAGACCTGTAAAGGATAAAAGTTCTTTTAAATAATTTCCTTTAATTTAAAAGAAATCTTTGAGAATGATCACTAACATTCTCCATATACTGATTATTAATAGTGACAGAAAAACTGTGATGTCAAATTTAAATTCCAGTGTTAAATTCTGCCTAAGCCTTGAGAAGACCTGGAATAAGACACTTCTTTTGTGCCACATTCCTCATTCTTTGTTTCTCTCTTTTCCCAGCAATCTTCTTTCAATGGAGATAGTGGGGTCAGGTCAAAGCTGGGACTAAAAAATGCCTTCAAAGTGATTAGAAGAACAGGGAGAGCTTCTGCAAGCTTCCTGGTCACTGCTCTGTCCTCCTGACCCCAGATCTCCCTTCATTTAAGAAGTCTGAGAAAACACTCAAGAGCTTTTCTACCCTTGCCATGAACTTCACACCACAGTTTGAATGGAAAATGCGTTTCCCAAATGGGCAGGACAAATTGCAATTTGGCACGCACACTTAACATACGTGGGCATGGCCCCGTTCTTGAACATGTGTTCTAAATAATGAATTACAGTCGGTGCATAGGAAGGGATTTACCCATTATGGTGTGTCAGGTGGTGTGATTTGTGACTCTCTGCTAAATGAGATACATACTCTTTCATGCAAAGGAGACACTGATGGGTATGTACAGTTAAATATTTTTCACAAGATGACAACTTATGAGAATCATAAAACAATTTAATTCTATTCCTCCTACTGCACCAAGTCAAAAGTTCTTCAACACAAAGTCCAGAATACATTACTGAGATTCTTTGAGAAGTGATCATTTGTTCTGTCTCTTAAATGTGCACTTATGCCAGACTCTACTATGATGCTTTCTCCATGCCCGGACCTGATAGGAGAGGATGCTATGGAACAGCCGCCTTCTTGTACTTGGTTCCCTTGGAGAAGCTCCTCAGACTGACTCATGAATCCAGTCTGTGTCCCTTAGCCTGACACTTCAAGGCCTCTGTAATCTGGCCTCTTCCTGCCCTGGGTTTTGACTACGCTGTCCCCTATGCCTACACATTGTCTTCCTGTATTTTCCTACCTTCTCCTGATACTGCATTGTCCTCTCTAGGCAGCCTTTCTTTACCACCGAATTCTCAGTTTAGCTTCTCCTTTGTGTTTCTAGAGCATCCTGGACACCTCTCTGCAATAGCACCACAATATGTTGAAAGGATTTTCTTTCCTTCCCTTCCCTTCTGTTCCCTTCCCTTCTCTTCTCTTCCCTTCCCTCCCTCCCTTCTTCTCTCTCTTTCCTTTTAAAGGCAGAGTCTTGTTCTCTCACCCAGGATGAAATGCAGTGGCACAATCATAGTTCATTGCATCTTGACCTCCCAGGATCAGGTGATCCTCCCACCTTATCCTCCTGAATAGGTGGGACTACAGGCACTTACCACCACACCTGGCTAATTTTTATATATTTTGTAGAGACAAAGTCTTGCTATGTTTCCTAGACTGGTCTCAAACTTCTGGCCTCAGGCTGCCCTCCGGCCTCAGTCTCCCAAAACTCTAGGATTATAGGCATGAGCCACTGTGCCAGGCCCAAAGTATTTATATCTTTCTCTGATCATTGGTCTCCAAAGTGAAATAATGTACCCTAGCAAGGGAAGGAAGCAATACAAGGCCATCCATAGGGTGAAACCAGTAAAGACTGAAATGTATGTGTATTTAATTTTATCTAAAAATGTTTATTTTTATGTTTTATAGCAGACATAATACATAAACATAGGAGTATCTGTACATATATAACAGTGTACACATACTAATACATGAGGATGCATGAGCAACATGTTTTTTCTGATGGCTTCCCTGCATTATGTTGCTCCAAAGCACAGATGGCCCCTTATACGTTTTCTATTTTCTAATATACGATTTTAAAATGGTTGCTGAACTAAAACCAAGATCCAAACTCTCCTCCATTCCACAGAAGACTGTAAACATCTAGGGTGCGATCACCACAACCATCTGTTCCACGCTTAAGCTCCTAAAAGCCCAAAGACTCAAAGCTTATGAGTGAGGGCGGATAGCAGTTGGCAGGAAGGTATTGTTTGCTGCCATAGATGATTTCCTTCCTTATAGCAGGATCCCCTCCTATGGAAAGGAGGCAACATTGGAAGGAAATTCATTGAGGAACTTTGGGTTTCACTTACATAGCAAACACAGACTGATTCAAAATCTTATTTTAATGGCATATTACAGTGATTTGGCAAAACTGGATCCTTTAAATTCATTTCTAACCTGTAAGATATAATTTAACCATAAGATACCACCTAGAATTAAATTTGATTCTTAAGAAAGAAAAAGAATTGTTCTATTTTGGAAAAGGAAGAAATTTATACGGTGATCATTGAATGAGAATTAACTTCAAAGAAAATAGTTCAGATTGCATTTTATGACATGCAAACAATTAAAATATTTTATTATGTCATATTCTCAGCAAGAAAATATGGCAATTTACTCTTAAACATTTGTAATACTGAAAACACAGATGCATTTTTAAATTCTTAAATAACCACTTTAGATTATAACATTATAGAGCCAGAAATTAATGCTAACATTTACGTGACTTTGTATCTCACCCTGCCCCTAAATCAGCGTTGAACTTTTTTTCTCCATTATATCACCCAATCTGATTCATTTAAATGGCTGAAATCTTAACTTGCGTTAAATATAGAATTATAATTCTATCAAATAACTCCCCCCCCCCAACGTTCACTTCCTCAGAATGTTATTCCCTAAAACATACATATTTCACAAATCATAGCTTTGGTTTATTCAGTGTTCAAATATATAACACGGAATTTATAGCCTGTTCCTTTGACAATTTTAGTTAACAGCAGGTATCATTTAAAATGTCAAGAACTCCAGATCCACAGATGTTATACAGATGCCTATTTTAAGTAGAATTACTAACTCACACTAAATAAAAGGCATTGTTAATCAATACAAAAATGCAAAGAGTTATGACTGTATAAATACAGAGTCATATGAACCATTGGGGCTAAGTTTTCGGTGACTCTCTCAGGTCTCCTTATATGCATGCGATTTTATGCCCATGATTTTAATTGCAGCCATATTTGAATCTTTGTGCATGCAATCAGTCACTTTTTTCTTCATCCTTAGCAAAAAGTGGCCAAGGAAGGGCCTCAGTTTGTACAAAAATTAGCTGTCAGCAAGGTTGGGGGTTAGAGAGTGTCTGGAGTGGGGGTGTGATGCATGTGCTCTTAGATACTCAGTGAGCTGATGAAAACTTGGCTCTTCAAAAGACTGTTAAATATAATCTCATTAGCAGAGACACATTTATGCCCTCAACATACCATCGTCCTATTAGAAAGAAAATTAACAGTCTTTGTTTGAACATAGTCTCTGTCAACACACAAGCCCACTGAGTAAATTCAGCTTTTTAAAATAAAGATAAATTCATTATAACAACCAGCTTTGTGGGTTTTCTTGTAAGTGCTACCAAGAGGCTGTTGGGCTGTATTTCATTTTCAACTGATGATTTTGTGCTGACCTAACCTGACATGATAAAAGGATCATGGAAACTCAGAGACCTCAGTTCTTGGCCAGCCCTGTCATTAACAACATGACCTCACTTTTGTGACTTAACTCTTCAAGCCTCAGTCTGCCTCTTCTGTGAAACAAGAGGGTAGAAAAAGGGGGAGCTATAAGGCTCTTTCCAATTTCATCCAAAGTGATGCTATCTACCCACTCAGTGTGAACCTCTGTGAAGGAAAGCCTCAGTGTCTAAGTCAAATAATATTAGAAGGAGCCAACAAAAGATGTGAAGTAGGTTGGTTATTGTTAACCATGCATGCCAGGGCAAAATAGCCATTAGAAAGCGAAATATATTCTGAATGAAAACACAGAGAAATTATGAAAGATAATTGGAAAATTCTGATCTCCTTGACTCTCTCTTTATTCTAAACTACTGTGGCTTACTTACCTGGGGTGGAGGTGGGGTAATACATAAAATATATACAACTGTTAAGGATCAGGTCCTATGGCAGGTGCTATACTTAGTTTCCTTATAAAGAAATAAATTTAATTTTAAAAGATTAGGTAATTTGTCCAGTTTGAACAGTAGGTCTCAACCTGGGTGACTGAAATTATCTTTTGGAGTTACTGAGAAGCATTAAAAAATATTAATACCATGCTGGGTGTGGTGGCTCACACCTGTAGTCCCAGCTACTTGGGAGGTTGAGGAAGGATCACTTGAACCCAGAAGTTTGAGACTGCAGTGAGCTACAATCGCACCACTGCACTCCAGCCTGGGTAGCAGAACAAGACCTTGTCTTAAAATCAAACAAAAAAAGATGCCTGAGTCCCATCACCAGTGATTCTGATTTCATCAGTCTGGTACAATCCCGACACTAGGATTTTAAACATCTTTCCAGGTGACTCTAACATGCAGTCAACATTGAGGTCCATAGGGCTAACTGGTGGTAGAGCCCAGGTGTGTGTGGTCTTTCACTACCACACAGACATTTTTACACAATTACATGTTACCTGTTATTATGCTATAATTATTTTACACGGATAAATTGTAACCCTCTCACTTGACTATACATTTGTGAGGTTTAGCATCATAGTTAAGAGCATGGACGCTGAGGCTGACTGTCCCACTCAAAGCCTGATTCAACCACCTCTTAGCTGGAGGATCTTGAGCAAGTTATCCTTTCTGAGCCTCGGTTAAGCAGATGATATTAGAGTTCCTAGGAATTTTGGAGGTGCTATGAACAGTCACTTTAAAAAATTATTGTGATATGTTGACACAAATATCACCTAATATCTTAACAGGATAGATCAGTTTAAGTCAAAATCCTCCTACAGGGTGAAAGGCATGTGGACAAATGGGGGTCATTCACTATTCCTGAAATTGTGTAGAAAGTACTAGATGGATAGCCACTCAACAAGGCAGTTTTCTGGAATCCTCATTGCATGCAAAAATCAAGCAAAAAAAATTATGTTAAGAGAAACAAATGAGTCCACATAACCTTTGAAGGTTTTGCCAATTTTGCTGCTGTTGACATTGCAACCCCCAAAATGATTCTGTGGTACGTTTTCTTCCCTTACTTGGAATTCATAATTTTCTCATCTCTTTTTCCTTCTATTTGCTTTTCTCTCTCCTAGTTTCTTTATCTTTATGCATCTATACTTTTTTTTTCTTTCTGTGGTCAATCAGTAACAGCCATAAATTATATCTCCTTTTGTATTTTATTTATTTATGAGTTATTTTCACATACATACTCGCACACACAATTCTGACATCCCTGAAGTAATAAATGTAAAATGTACTATATTCATCCCCTAAAAGTAGATTTTTCCACTACAACTCATCACACCAGATACCTTTGATAGCAGCTCCGCAAATCAGAGCTGGAATGAATACATTGTTTTTGTTTATTTATTTCCTTTCTAACTTAATACATAGCTAGGAATATTTAGTTACTCAATATTTTGAAAGGAAAAAATATACCAGTAACATAAGAAGACATTTAGAGTAGAGAAGGTGATTATTGGAAACATCATAGTTTTCTCCACCAAGAAGAGAAATAACCACCCAATATTTGTTTGTATAATGTACTATGTTCATACCTCATTTTGAATAGATGAAAAAGAAAAAAATGATTTCTTGATATTTTTTAAATAAATCACTAATGTATCCACTCACACTAAAAGTTGAAGTATTTAGAATGTATATTACTTTATAAATAAAATAGGAAAGATAGATGCACAGAGAATATTCATGTATTTTTTAAACATTTACTAAAGCTTGTGGCCTACTTTCTGTCTGTAAGTAGCAAAAGATAAATACAATTGCAACTTTGCTAACTGAATCCTAAAATTACTTGCAAAGTATAATTTCACCAGTAGAAACAGAACTAAAGCAAGTTTTGCCATCTGTTCCAGGTCAATGGATTGTGCCTTGCCTTAGTTGTTCAGACAACAGGACATGTGACTGGAGAGAAATAACTTGGCAGCCCCATGACTGCCAATATGGCGTACTAACTAAGCCTCAACTCCAGCAGTGCCTGGGAGGAAGAAAGGTATGTTCTGTGTTCGTGAGGGAAGCTGCTTTTCATGTATGCTACCTGCAGCACAGAAAGTCATACAGTTGTAACTACTAGAACCATGCCTGCTCTCCCACTCTGTAGAGGGTAACTAACTGAATGCAGTTCGGCTTTTTGAATCATGTATATGAGGAGGGACCCCTCCAAAAACCAGAATTATTTTCTGGAGGACGGGCCTCCAAAAAACTGGAATTATCTTTTGGGGGGTGGGCTTCTTGTAGTACAGGCTTCCCCCGCTAGGTAAGTGTTCTAGAAACCCATCAACATCAGTGCACTAGCTAGCGTTGTTGTGAGAGACTGCATTTGGCTTCAGTGAATTTGTACTTACTATTTTTGGGAGGGAGACTCTTTTCATGCATTTGCCCATTTTGTGATGGATGATTTACATAAACAACCTGTCCACACCTTGCATAGTGTTCAGCAATTTTTGACCAAAAACAGCATGACCCTCTAGGCCCCACCCTTCCTATTGACCAAAAACAGCATGACCCTCTAGGCCCCACCCAATCTTGCCCCAAATGATGTTTTTTGGGAGTTTCCTAGGATGAAAAAAGTCCTCAAAGGGAAACATTTTGCTGATGTGGAAGAGGTGAAACAAAAAATGGCAGAAGCACTAAAAGGCATCAAAATTGACAGGTTCAAAAACTGTTTTGAGCAGTAGAAAGAACATCTCGATAGGCATATTGCATCAAATGGAGAGTACTTTGAAGGTGACTGACGTTCAAACATGTAAGAATAAATACGCAATTTTGTTTATATAAATTCTGGTTTTCTGGAGGTCCTCCTTGGTAGATGTTCACAATCCTGGCTTCAAATGTTCAATGTTCTCCAAACAAGTCTATTTGACAGATGGAGGATATTAAAGTCGTGTCCATGCTGTTTTCTCAGCACAAACTGGTAGGAGTTTGCCATGTCAACAGACAGTTGGCAGTTGGGAGCAGCTGGCCTTGTCAACTGCAGCTCTGGCAGACACTGCGGTTAGGACAGACATCTGTAGCTCAGCCCGAGATATCGAATAGTCCTGCATGCAAGACTCACTTCTAGAGCTTTCCAAGCTCACAGTATTGTTTTAACACACTAACCTCGCCGATCTTCTTCCACATTCCTGGGCAGGTCTCACATGGATCTCATTGGGCTGGTTTTTCCTTTAGTGAGGCTTATAAGCTGATTTCTGGGACATGCAGCTTCTTCTTGCTAGGCATGCTCTGACTAGGTAGAGTCCAGCAGAACTCACAGACATGCGAAAAGGGAACAGATTGAGATGCTTGGGTAACATCAAGTGAGTAACCTTTAACCAGATTTTCAAAGTGCTTTTTAACTAGATGAACATTTTCTTATACACTATTTGTAAGCTCTCACACATCAGGAAGACTGATGTCAAAAACTGATTTTTACAAAACTCTAATAATGCGTACTTTTTTAAAAGCACTGGATGAAATGTATGCCACATGTTTTACTAGCAACTAGTTTAGGAAGAATGACAAGAGGTGAGGGCAGGGCAGGAAGGTGGACATCTTCTCCATGGTGATTTCAACTTAAGGGCTCCTATTTATATGATTGAGAATATCTCTTAAGTCGAAACAGCAGTATTAATTACTTTACAAAGGGAAGGGAAGAAATTAATCATTTAGATATGTATGTTGCTCTTGGTATTATCAACTGAGCATTGATTCTTCATAAGGAACTGTGCTTCTTTCTGACAGTTTAAATCCCACCAGACTGTACACTTCATGAGGGCAGGGAAGGTATTCGATTCACTTCCATAACCTCAATACTGAGCTCAATTTTTGACATAGAATAGTCACTTAGTAAATATTTGTTCAATAAATGAACACATTGAAATCTTGTTTATTCCTAGTTGAAGTAGATATTGTATCTATTTTCTACTTAAAAAGCTCAGAGAGATTGAAAATTTGCTGGTGATCAATGTGTATGGGCACGGCCACTCCTCAGGCCTTTTTAACCACCAACTTGGATAATCCAACCTCCACATGCTAGAACTGTTGCACTGGGAACAATGACAATAGCTGTTGCCGCAACAGCCTGACATCTCTAAACTCAGAATACCATTCTGACCTCAGAATGTAGAGTGTTCAGGAAAATTCCAAGAAGCTGTCACAGTCAATTAACCTGAAAAGCAGATGATGTTCATTTAAACTCATCACGAAATTCTGTGGCTTTGGACATGACACTTCTTGTTTCTTAGGCTTATTTTCTTCATCTGTAAAATAACCCTCTGTGGTAGATTAATCAACTTTGTAGAAAGCTAAAGGCCTTCTCTGTGTCTTAGCTCATGCTGCTATAATAAAATACCATGCACCAGATGACTTAAACAACAGACTTTTCTTTCTCACAGTTCTGGAGACTGGGGAGTCCCTGATCAGGGGACCAGTATGGTCAGGTCCCTGATTTCTGCTAGCTGCCTTCTTGTTTGACATCCCAGAGCAGAGAAAGAGAAAGAGCTTTAGTCTCTTCCTCTTCTTATAAGGACACTAAACCCATCATGGGGCTCCAACCTCATGACTTTATCTAAACATGATGATCTCCCAAAGCCCCCAACACCCAATAGCATCACATTGGGGATTAGAGTTCAACACATGAATTTGGGAGGGGGACATAAACATTCAGTCCACAACACTATCTTTACTCTTTTTTTTTTTTTTCTGAGTTGGACTCTCACTCTGTCACCCAAGTTGGAGTGCAGGGGCACACTCATGGCCACCACAACCTCGACCTGCTGGGCTCAGGTGATCCTTCTCCCTCAGCCTTCCAAGTAGCCAGAATGGCAGGCATGCACCACCATGCCCAGCTAATTTTTTGATTTACTGTAGAGATGAGGTTTCGCCAAGCTGCCCAGGCTGTTCTTGAACCCCTGAGTTCAGGCACTCCCCTCACCTTGGCCTCCCAAAGTGCTGGGATTACAAGCGTGAGCCACTGCACCCAACTTGTCTTTACTAATTTTAAGGCTGATTATTAGCAACTCTACAAAGTAAAAAAAAAAGATCATTTTTCCTTTACTGTCAGCAAGACAGGATGTGACAAAATCCGAAAATAAAGGTCTGCGTTTAGATGAAGAGACCTCAGCAGACATGAGCTAGCTGGCTGTCCAGCTGAGAGAGGTGTCCTTCAGAACTGCATGCTCAGAAACTCAAATTTGCCAGCACACAACCAATGGTACCAAAAAGTCTGATTTGCTTACCAAGATGCTAATTTATTCTATATGCAACAGGGAAGTTTTGTTTATTTTTAGTAGAGGAGTAATATAGCTAGAATTAGAAAGATCATCCTACAGTCCTATGGGCGTCTACCTAGGAGAAAAAAGGTACGGACCCCAGAGAGGCAGAGGCTGTGTAATGGCAACATTCCAATGTGCATCACTGAGGAGGCAAAACAAATATAGACTATGTAAAGAATAGTCCCACGAATGGCAAAACCAGGGCATCCATACAGACATGTTTATGTACACAGAAAGTGTCTAGAAGTAGCAAACAGCTGACAGTGATTACATGGGTGGAAGGGAGTCAAAAAAGGGTAGAGTACAAAAAAAAATAAAGGAGCAGAATCCTTTGTTCAAAAATTATGAAGTTTCAAGACAATAAACTGAATACCAGACACTTCAAAGCATGGAACCCTATAAGACTACCCATGTCACGTGCCCATGAAGCCAACTCAGGTAGCAAAGCATCTTGGTGAAGCACGAAGAGATATTTTTAAATATTTCTGCATGATTTTCATTTTTACAATGTGTGAGCATTATTTTTTTAATCTAAAAAGTCTGTGTTTTAAAAAGTTGTATAAATTAGAACTAGGGCAGAGACAGTGAAAATGCAAAAAGCCTGAGAAAGATATTTTGTATTTAGGATCATGGGATAATAAACAGGTACATACACTCACACACCACAACACAGAGATTATTATGTAAACATTCACAATTATAACCATGACTAGCACTTATTTTAAAGAAGGTTCTATTTATGAACAGAAGTAGGTGATCAAAAGATTTTCCCAATACATCTATTTCTGACTTTTCATGAGAATAAGAAAGATATACAAGGTGATCCTACAACTTTTAACTTTCATTACTAAGGTAAATAAGTTTTTATCCTACATAGAATTTCCTATAATCACCAATCCATTCCAAAAACAAATAAATGTCAAAGCATCACAATTATAAATGAGATAAATATGTAATAGAAACATTTTATCTTTTAAACACATTGCAAGAAGGACCCAAAAGAACCCAGAATGTATTTCTAAAAAATTGTGTATTTATTCTTACATGTTTAAACTTCAGTCACCTTCAAAGTTCTCTCCGTTTGATTCAATACACTTACTGAGATGCTTTTTTCACTGCTCAAAACAGCTTTTGAACTTGTCAATTTTGATATCTTTTAGTGCTTCCGTCATTTCTGTGTGTTTGTTTCACCTCTCCCACGCTGGCAAAATATTTCCCTTTGAAGATTTTTTCATCCAAGAAAACAAACAAACAAAAAGTCACTCTGGGAGAAATTGAGTGAACAGGGAGGGTGGGGCAAGGGGGTCAGGTCATTTTTGGTCAAAAACTGCTGAACACTGTTGTCATGGGGGAAGAACAAGTCACCTGTTTGCCACAACTCGGGATTTATGTTCACAAATCGTGATGCTGCCTTCTTAAAACATTCAGATAAAAACTTTGGTTAACTGTTTGATCTAGAGAAACAAATTCCAAGTGTACTTCCAAGGGACCCGCCCTCCACAAAAAATAAAAATAAAAAAAAGATAATTCCGGTTTTTGGGGGCCCCCCCTTGTACTTGCAAATACAAGCCTACCCATAGGAAGGGAACAAGACACAACTCAGTGGAGATTTGAAAAGGAGTCCAAGTGTTTAGTAACTTTGACCAGGAACATGACCACACTTACTAGCTTGTGAGCAGGACCATACTTTCATAGCTCATTTGTTTGTTGTGAGCAGGACCATACTTTCATAGCTCATTCG